TAGGAGCTAATAAAAAGACCCACAATTCCGTAGAAAGACATCACAATTCATTGTGGAAAAAACTATTTCCTGAGACGGAAATAAAGATATCAAATTTCTACCAAGATAACTCTATATTTCAACCAACAAGAATCCCAATGAGCCTAAAAAAGGATAACAGCCCAACAAAAACTACTTGTTTTTCGAGCCCCCGTTATAGGTTCTATCCATATATGTTTTGATCGACAACTCATACTTGGTCCAATTGATTTTTTTGAATCGGGAGAATGCCCAAATGAATTTGACTTTAGTCCTTTTTTTCCCAAAGTAACTCGTATCAACTAGCGCTAGTTTGATGTGATCCTTTAGGAGTAATTCATTAAATTCGTTAGATCTAAACTAATAACACTCATACTTATCTATCTATTTTTTGTGTTCCGAAAAAAATAATTAATAAGTTGGAATCTCTCATAAATCAATTCTATGTGAGTGGTAAAATTAGTGAACAAAAACTCACTTGAATTAAATGGAAAAAATGATGGCGAGTAGACAAGATGATGTACTTGGTATTGTCAGCCTTTTCGCGTTTAATAAAATACTTTAATCTAAATGGACAAAGGCAGTTCCACTATGGTGCTCATAGTGGCACCGACAACCCCTGTTTTTTCGGACGTAGTGTAAATTTTTTTGATTTTTTTGATTTTTTATTTTTTCTACTATTGTGCCACTAAGTAAAAAAATATGCTGTCAACAACACCTACTATGAAATCCTACGTCTGCCCTATAAATGGAAATGACTTTTCTTGAATACTCCCTCTGTTCTATAGGTATGTGTGATCAAGGTTATTTACGAGGATGATAGATATTTAAATAGATGTGTTTTTCAAGGAAATGCTTCAATATTGTGGGACGGTATTCTTAGATCGTCAATAATCTCAAAGACAAGGTATTGATCTTGATAAGTTTCACGTTAAAAAGGTTGGGGATGGGAGTCTTAAATGTTTCAGAAAGGAAGTGTGGTTTGGAGATACAAATTTAAAAACTCGATTTCCTATAATCAGGTATGGATATGAGAGTTTACGCGTGTTGGAGCTTACTTATTTCCGGGAGGAAGTGCGTAATTGGGATGGGAGTCTTACGCATTTGAGAGCTTTTGAATCAAGTCATGCTAAGCATTCAAAGTGAGTTTTGGAGCTTACTCATTTATGGGAGGAAGTGCGCACTGGGGATGGGAGTCTTACGTATTTGAGAGCTTTTGAATAAATTCATGTTAAGCACTCAAAGTGATAGATGGTAATGGAGTTTTGATGGTTCAGGCGAGTTCTCAGTTTATTCGATTTTTGAATAATTGCGCATGTGATGGAATACTTGGATTCATGTTAAGATGGATGTGTTAGGTTGACGTTTGCACGTTAATAAAATTCCAACAAAAGACAATTTGGACAAGAAAGGAATCGAAGTGGATAATCTTTTGTGTGTCCTATGTGATTTACATGTAGATGATCTTCAACATCTTTTTTTCTTGTGTTTGGTGGCTAATTCTATTTGGAACCAAATCGCTAGATGGTAGAATATTGATAAACCAAATCTTTACAGTTTATCGGATCTTTTTGCATGTGAGGAGCAATGCAACCTTACCGTGTTGAAATGAAAATCTCTTGTTGCTATTTTGATTTCTACTATGTGGGTATTGTGGAAGCATATGAACACCTAGATGTTTGACGATGTTAAGCCTTTAAACGCTCTTATATCTGATTACATTTTAACACAATCGTTTTTTTTTTTTTTTGGATTTCTCTTATGAGCTCTAAGCTTATCATTAACTGGGTAGCTTGGTTGCAAAACCCAATTACTACCATTTGGTCTTTGTAATATCTTTTCTAGTTCCTTGTTAGTTTTTAATTCAATTCTACGTTTAAAAAAACCATGTTTGTTTCATTTTTCTTTTAATCGTATTCAATAGACAATTGTAATTTTTTCGGTTTCTCAGTGGATCATTGGAATAAATTTCAGCCGGGTTAATTAATATTAAATTTTACATGACATCTATTGTGAAATTCAATATGGCATGGTTTGTTTATTTATGTCTGTGGATATGACATTGTGTCCACCGTCATATTTAATATCGCAAGATTTTCCGATTAAAATGCAGCTAGTGGCGTTATGTGGACCCAAGAAAATAGAGTGTTATTTACTACAATTAAAATATAAACGACCTAAGGAGAAAATTGAGTATTATTGGTTATCATTTTATAGTATTAACCTTATTTAAAAATCATCACGTATACATAATATATTACTCTTTATAGAAACATCATTTGATATTCTAGCTCCTAAAGTATAGTACCGATTGAGAGCGGTTCTTGTTCCAATTTTAACTTTTTTTTTGAAAAACCAGCAATTTGTTGCAAAATTATACGTATGAACTAGGGGTGTGCAATAAACCGCACAAACCGTATAAACCGCCCGCACCGCACCAAACCGCACCGCATAATGCGGTTTGAAACACTTGCGGTGCGGATTGCGGTTTGTATTTTTGTTAAACCGCATTATGCGGTGCGGTTTGCGGTTTACGATTACAAAATTGCGGTTTAAACCGCATCGCATTGATAAAATTAATTAATGATTATATATATATATATATATATATATATATATATATATATATATATATTCGAAAATAATTTGATAAGTCCTAAATTAATGGCATTATCTTAAGGTTTTGAAATGTAATCTTAATTAATCCAAAATTTAATGCAAAATTTAATGGAATGACCATATTTTTTTATCTCAATTTCATTTTCAGCTAACATTCAGTGACCATTATTTTATGGTCATTATATTTTCTTAACTTATGTATATTCATAAGTAGTTAATGACCACAATTCAATGACCACCAAAATTTTTAATTACCACTTAGTGAGTCGTTAGTGACGACAATGATATTATTGTCATTAAATTTAAAGTAAATAATTACTCAAACCGCAAAACCGCATGTAAACCGCATAAACCGCCCGCACCAAACCGCACCGCAGAATGCGGTTTTGAACGTTCGTGGTGCGGTTTCTAAATAACTCAAACCGCATGCGCGGTGCGGTTTGCGGTTTTGGCTTTAAACCGCACCAAACCGCACCGCGCACACCCCTAGTATGAACGATGAAGTAGATGGTAAAGATGATGCCCGTCCAAAACAGTAAACTTGAGGGACTTAAATAAGCAAAGATAATATTTGGGATCCAAATTACTAAAAGTATTAAAGTTGTAGGTATAATATGCAACTAGCAGAAACTTCAAGGGATATAACAAACAATTGAGAATGAAGGTATCAAAAGGGAAATCGCCGAACGGGAAGAACGAAGGGGCCGCAACCAGCACCTGAACATGGCGAGCAGATCAATCGCTTCGATTGGTAGTTCATGGAAGCAGTTGTCTTTTAACTTAACCAGAAGAACCTTGAGCACATCTACGCCTGCTTCTGCATCGCCTTCTGCTTCAAACCCTAGTACATCAGTTTCAAAATCGAAAAGAAAGAAGAAGAAGAACTTGTTTGAGGTGGCCCAGTTTCTTCCTAATTGGGGAATCGGTTATCAAATGGCTAAGACGCACTGGTCTGGCGTCGCTTATCAGATCACCAAGATCAATCTCTACAAGGTCTGTCTCCCCCCTCTCTCCGCTTATCTCTCGCTAACAGATTCAAATCGTGTCTATTTTAGGTTTATTGGTATGTTGTGATGCATTGGGGGTTTCTTTTTTGAGAGGGTTTTTGAGTTGTTAGTTACTTCCAAACAACGAGCTACACTTCCACTTGTGCAGAATCGATATAATTTATCTTGCATTTCAAATGTTATTCTATTCTCACTGAAAATTCTGCAAACTGTTTGTAAATTTGTTCTTTTTACAGGATGGTAAGCATGGGAAGGCTTGGGGAATTGTTCACAAAGACGGTGAGTTCTGAATTCTCTTTCGGTAACTGTTAGATTTTTTCCTAGTTTGCACTAGAGTTTTTGGTTTTGATGGTTTGTTGAATGTGAAAAAGTTAAGGATAGTGATGAGATGCAATACATGTTCTTCACATTTGAATTGAATACTCAAACAGAAGGATTATCACATGCTTGATCATATCAATTTGAATTGAATGTGAAAAAGTTAAGGATAGTGATGGTGCTAAAACATTGGTGATTATGCAGGTATAGCAGCTGCTGATGCTCCAAAGAAAATCAGTGGTGTTCACAAGCGTTGTTGGAAGTACATTCCTAACTCAAATAAAACTCAACAAATCATCACACCACAATCTCAATCAGAAACACAAGTTCAAAATCAAGCCACATGATTATTAGTTACCCTATTATGCCAACTTAGAGGATCATTTTCTTAGATAAATCACACAAGCTTAGATGCAATTGATGTTTCCTTTTCTTGAAAAATCTTATTTTTATCTTTAATCTTTTGCTACCAATGAGGTTGCATGTTAAACCTCTTTTTCATGTTCCTACATTTGGTATTTATCAAAGTCTCAAGCTTTGCTTTTGATGGCATTGAAACATTTTTAATTTCTTTACTACATCTATATGCTTTAAGTCGTATGCTCTATGCTAGTTGTGATGTTTGTTACTACTTACTATAATGTTTGTTCTTTGAGTGATGATTTCTAGAACCTATGGATTTTAATTCAAAACATTTCTTTCTTGTTAAAAGTAATAATAATTCAATTTGAAGTATTAAAAGTAGACTCACTACCCTTTATCTATCCATTCTCATATTTAATATTACCACCCCCAATCTAAACTTATCATAAACTGCCGATTTAATGATAAATTTACGAAAATGTCTCACAATAATACTGATAGATACAAACAACATAAAAAACTCATCTCATACACAAGATCATTAAATCTACGAAAATGTCTCACAATAATACTGATAGATACAAACAACATAAAAAACTCATCTCATACACAAGAGTACAGGTATATTTTTGTCACATAATTAATAAACAAACTATTTTCCTTCTCTCAATCTAATTACATGGGAGCTTCAGCATGATCAACACCTGATGATTCACTGGAGATTGGACCATTGGCAGCTGAGTACGTGGATGGAGATGAAGCTTCTCCAGAGCTTAAAACTTGTGACATCATCACACGTCGTGCCATTGTCCTTTGTACGTTGCATAATTCCGGCAAATAAACTCCTGGAATTTTAAAGAATCATATATAACAAATAATTACAAATCATTGTTTTTCTTTCACTTATTATATTGTTGTCTTGATTGACAAAATAAAGTCCAATTATCGCATTTGTTAAATAGAGGAAATGTTTGTTAGTTGTTACCTTCACCTAATGCCAAGTTATAGTAAAGATCAACAATGTTGGGGCAATTTTGGTGACATTCGGTGGAGCAAATCTTGGTAGTCAACTTAAGGTCAAGGAGGGAATCTGAAGATATTCCAATCGTTTTTCTATCAACCCCACATGCATTGATGCAATCATCGCTCTCAATTAATTCCCACATCCCTTTCACAACAATCTCAGATGTCTTACACTGGAAATCAATTCCACCATTGTTGGACTCGTAATTCTCCAAGACACAACGCTTCCCAGAAGATGAAATAGAGAAAGAACACATTCCCACTGGTAATTCCTCACATATAATTTCACCTATACAAGCAAAAATTATTAATTTTTTTTGTTTTATATATATAAACCGGAAAAATGACAAGTAAAATAAAGATGAAATTACCAAAAGCTCCTTGCAGGAAGAGAGTGAAAACAAGGAATAGGACCAATTTCATTTTTGGTGTGGTGAATGAACTAAGAAAATGTGTTGTCTTTCTTTTGTTAAACACAGACAAAGATTGGTGGTGACTTTGAAATTTTATATTTGATGTTTGTGGGATTTATCTTTATATATACATTTGAAGAGTAGAATTTAGTCATTTACATGGGCATGGAAATATAAAATAACATATTTAAGATAAAAAGAGGGGTGCATACGTTGTTTCGGACCTTGATCAGCATATTGTGAACTGCTTATTTGACTTTTATTGACAAGAAGAGGGGGTGTGTTGAAATTTGAAATGACAAGTGTCCCTAAATGTCTCTTTCCAAAGTTGGAATGCAGAATTCTGTTAAGGATGTTTATGAAAACTACAAAATTGCAATATACGTGAGCGCAATTATGTTTTCTTTAACAAGAATTAAATTCATTTGAAATGTCCAAAAATCTAACTTTTTCTTATACAATTTTCCAACAAATGTGAATAACAAGTCAGCTGCTTCCAAATTCCATTTATTCATATCTTCATTTATTGGTGGCAAGTTGCAAAAAAACATTGTAGTTTGGTTTAGGGATTAGTCTTAGTATAACCATAGCTACTCTTTTTTAATTAAATCGTAAATTCTTCAGATATGTTTTTCAAATTAATTGTTATCACTTATAATCCTAGGTTTAAGTTTAACCGATTTTCTTGGCTTATACAAAATTTCACTAAATGACATGGAACTTGAACCATCTTTTAAGACATTGAATGTGTAAATAGACAAATTTCAAAAAAGAAAGGGTTTCAAAGGAACCAAGGAATGTATTCAAGGTGCGATTGAATGCGCATAATCAATTAATTATAAACTCTTTTTTGGAATCTTAATGCTTTCCTCCTAATTTATGTTTTAGAATGTTAATGCATGTCGATTCTTACACACATTGCATGGTGTTTGTGTCTTGAACCATTAGATTGTTACATATAGAGGGCGTAAATATGGGATCTTGTTCAAAGAAATGGAATATTAGCTGAGAGTGAGCACTGACCTTTCATATAATGAGAGTGACCACGATAGTGATGTTTCATTAGATTTTGAACTGGAGAGGGAGTTAGAGGAAACAATGAACAATATCGCCAATCATAATTTTATGAACCTATTATGTGACTCCCAAATGTCGGGAGATGAATGTGATCATTGTGCAAACAAGGTTGAAAAGGATGGTCTACATGATAAAAATAAAAAGGATTGCTTTGATATGATTGATTTAGAAGATAATAAGTTGAATATTATCACAATCCATTGATGAAATGGAATATGGTCTGCCAATCAAATGAGAGAAATACTATATCCATGCACAACCTACGAATTTTTGTTTTTGACTAAGAGTGACAAATGATTACAGGTTATATTTTACAATCTGTGAGGGTATCTACAATTCAAGTTGTATAGGAGTTGAATAAGAGGATAACTAGGATTGAATGAGTACTTAATGGAGTGTGGGTGATGACATGAAGTGGAGTTGAATGATCATTCAACTGTTCAATAAGGATTCAATAGAGATAATTAAATGGTGATTATGATTGAATATTTGTTTAATGGGTTGTGGTTGTTAAAAAGTAAAGTCCATGGATGATGCAACAATTCATTAAACTCTATAAAGACCAATGAATTGTGGATGCTCTGATAATAATTGCATTAAGTTAAGTACTATAAGAAAACAAATGATGGTATAAATGAGGTTTAGACTATTGACATCATGGATGGGACAAAAAGATCATTTATAGTACAAAAGTTGCATTGAAAATATTTATGTTCCAGAAGATATGGCTTTGGTAACAAAATGAATCACAATTAGAGAGCGAAGTATTATATGATGGACATCATTGCCAAGTCAAACACTACTTTGTAGGGTTTGCAAGCTCATATGCACATGTAGAAAATCTGGGACGTCATATGTATATATACCAGTAATGATCATCACGAATGACAGTTTATAGTTGCCGGGAAACATTTTTGCATAAGATTTAATTATTCTGGACCAACGAGCTAACTCCACCTTTTGATTTCAAATGACATAATCTAAACTCAATATCAATTTAGATTTTTCCACTCATGTCCAACTTTTCCATTATACTCGTAGTTTGAAAACCTATTTGGGTTTTTGGCCGTTTCCCTTGACTCCAATATTCGTGATCATGTTTGGAATCAAACTAGTCGTGCTATGTGTGATCCACCTCCGAGCATAACTTAAAATCCCACTTGGTAATCATGTAAATTCCAATCATCCAAAATTATCGATGACAACATTAAGAGCATATTATTGAACCAAATGGTTTAGCCTACGGGTATCGGGAGTTGATAGATATGTGTATCTCAACCAAAAGTTGAGGGTTCAAGTATCACGACCACTACAAGGATCGAGTCCTATGCAGACGACGATTCTGGACACTGTACCGACAACATGTCGTCGGTAAATGATATACAAACGAAATTTCGTCTATAAAAAGTCGTCGGCATAGCTCCGTCGGTAAAAGTCGAAAATGTCGTTGGGACAAGTGTCGTTGGTATAAAGTTACCAATCCAGACGACATATTGTCGTTAAATGGTCGTCATGATTGATTTTCGAGGAAATAAGAAAAAGTTTTATTTGGACCCTATACCGACGACTTGTCGTCTGGAAAAGCTGGGCAATACAGACGACTTGTCATCGGGAAAAGGCTAAGCAATACCGACGACTTGCCGTCGGCAAAAGTAGGTGCAGCCAACTTCCATTCTAATAGTCCCGACGGCTTATCGTCTGGATTGGTAAAATGGTTTTTACAGTTAAAAGGCTATACCGACGACATGTTGTCGGTATAACCTTTTTTTATTTTTTGATATTTTTCACAGTTTTTGTTCTATATACTAAATCCGTTTTTTAAAATAAATCCAAACAGGATATTTGCAGAATAATATCAAACACTTAAAAACATAATATACCATTAAAATTTAAGTTCAAATTCTACCACATAACAAAATAACAAAAAAAAAAAACAAGTTTTTTAACAAACATTGTTCTCATTATCATTCTAGTTCTCCTCCTCCTCATCCTCATCCTCATCATCATTTTCGGGAAAATACTGGGTATAGACATTATTTGGGGTTGAATTTCAAAATATAGACACAAAAAATTGAATTTCCGGGTATAGACATGGATTCCGCGGAGGTAGCTCCGCGGAATCCACTTTAGCTCTGGGGAATGGCAAAATCGTAAATAAATGAGGGAATTAAAAAAAAAACTCAAGATCCATTCTGCGGAGCTACCTCCGAGGAATGAACTCATTCCGCGGAGGTAGCTCTGAGTAATGGATCTTCAATTTTTTTTTTAAATCGATTCTTCGGGGTTTATATTCATTCCCCAACTAATTATTTTCAAGAAAAGATTATGATAGTATGAATTTTTCTTGACAATGTTTGGATTGAATGTGAGGTGGAAAAAAATTGGTCTTTTAATTGGAGATCTTTACATAAAAGAATTATTGGAGGTGATTTTTTTTTTCTGAAGAACCATTCCTCGGAGCTACCTCCGCGGAGCTCCGCGGAATCCACTGTAGCTCCGCGGAATGAATCTTGAGTTTTTTTTTTTTGAATTTCCTCATTTATTTACGATTTTGCCATTCCGCGGAGCTCCGCAGAGCTACCTCCGTGGAATCCATGTCTATACCCGAAAATTCAATTTTTTGTGTCTATATTTTGGAATTCAACCCCAAATAATGTCTATACCAGGTATTTTCCCATCATTCTCCTCCTCCTCCTCGAGGTCATTGGTTGTTTCAGGGTTATTTTGTGAAAACATATTGGGATTAAACTGAAATTGTGGTTGGAAGTTAGGAATGACAGACGCGAAAGTGTTATGATTAAACTTGGGGATTATCTGAAGATTGAGATGTAGAAGCTTTGGAACGTTTGGTATGTTAATTTGTTAATAAATTATTGTTGGTGCTTGGTTTCCTTCCAACTCCGCGAAATGCCCGCGTCTCTCACCGAGGGAACGAGCGAGACACTGTTCTTCATTTAACTTTTCGTTCTCCCCGAGCTCGGATTGCATCAATATCTTCTCTCGTTGAATGTTTTCCTAAAATAAAGAGAACAATAAAAATAGATTAATTAAAACAAATAACTAAATTTATACACTAAAATAATAATAATATACCTTAAACTAATTATAATAATAATAATAACATATTTATCAAATAACTTATTAACTTTGTTTATTACTTACCCAAACTACTTCTGCTTGCGGTGTACACCAACCCCGACTTTCTTTAAATCGCATCTGTCTCCAACCATTTATATGTTGCGGTCTTGTCCTTTTTCTCTCTATAATAAGCCAAAAACAATTAATATATTTATATAAGAGTTAATAAAAATTTTATATAATACAACTAAATTTAATTACCTCATCAAGTCGTCTGTCTGCATATGTTCTACTTCCGTGAGAACTCGTAAATGGAAGTTTGGACCTACTTTCTTTACCTTTTGCGCATTGCTTGATCGAGTGTCATTCACCACATCTATCTCATTAACACCGATACTTGGATGATCCTAATTTTTTTAAATTAATTTGATTTGATATTATAATTAGTTTTATTTTATTTTAATATTAATATTAATTTGACTTAATAATTAATTTAAATTTATTTTAAAATTAACTTAATTTGATTTTATAATTAATTTAATATTTTCTTTTTTGTTATTAGTTTTTTTTTTTAAATTAATTTAATTTGATTTTATAATTAATTTGATTTTATTTTAATATTAATATTAATTTGATTTTAAAACTAATTTAATTTGATTTTATAATTATTTTGATTTTATTTTAAAATT